TATTCATGCAAACACTTGCACACACACCAGGGCACACATTTAATTTGCCTCACTCAAAGAGCTGTGTGAATTTCCTTACAGTGACTTTGCTCACATTATTAAATCTTATCCGAAAATATATAGCTGCATTTTGGAATTTTGTAAACAAAACAAGATTTGTTCAAATCAGGTAAAAACTTTACTAGATATCAGTTTGAATTTTGGGATTATTTGCAACATTCTGAGATTGGGATTTTCGGCTCTGGTTATACCTTCTTAGAAAATAAATTCTTGTTATCTATCAGATGAGCTAAACATGGACTTGGTTGCTCCTTCAGAAATCTATCTTTTGTTGGCTTGTTTATTTTTGTTGAAGGTGCAAGAGATGTGTTAATGAATGCTTTTGTTAGATGTTTAGGTGTTAGTCATTTTGTTAATCCAGCAATTGATATAATTGGCAATTTCTACCCAGAGACAGAAGAAGGCAGAACTGACAGATATTGTCAGAATTATGCAAAGGAACTTGCACTTTTTCTTCCCACGCTCTTCCTGTATATTTGAATTATAATGGGATAGAGAAATAGAGATAAAAAAGTACATAGTCACATATTAAGGATTGCATTTTATAAATAGAAAATGGTGGCTATGACACAGCAAGCAATATTTTTGCATCTGCTTAAGACTGAATCCAAAAATATAACTGTAAAGATAATTTATCTTCTATTTCTGTCATTTTTTGGAGCAGATGCTTTGGTTAAAACTATCACGATGTGTGACAAGGAAGACAGGCAGAACCCTACTGTATTCCCTTTATTATAATAGATTTGGAATTTATTATTTTTCATGCTAATTTTTAACAATGTAATGTATCACTGGAGTCAACACCACCACTGCGTCTTCTAGAGTACGACATTCCTAAACATGACAAGATCTCACTGGGCCAGAAGTAGAGGCCGAAGCATCATAAATAAATGCTTAGATACTAGTGATAGACATGGATAGGGAGGGAGAATACAGAGCCAGAAAGAAATTCAGGAGCAAGAAATACTAAATTCGGTCTCTTGGTTTGCCAGATTGCAACCCAGAGATTGCATATATCACTTTAATAAACCTGGAAGTGTGAAAGAGAACGTAGTCACAAAAATCATCTTGCTTCAAGACTCTGCATGATTTACAGAATATTTGATTATTAAATTGGGATTTTGATGACATAGTGTTTGCTGTCCTTTTTCTTCCTGTTGTAGAAGTCATATATAATTGCTAAACAAATAATATATAACCTTAGGAAGTGAGGGCATTGGTTTGCTATTTCCCATGTTCCCATTATAGCATTCTTGACTTTCTACTCCTAATAGTGAGTTTGGTAAGTATGAACTTTCTTCTGTTTCTTGAATTATATTACTCTGTTGTCTTTGTATCTTACTGATATTTCCCATTATCATCGTCAGAATCAGAATTGTGACCTTTCAGTGATAGTTTCTTTTCCATTTTGTACCTTGCCATGGTTACCAAATCTCAATAATTGTGTTTCTTCTAACTTTCCAGCAGCAAATTCCAGAAAACAAGTAGGTAACTTCTACTCGGTATTTACTTCAGTACAGGAAAACAAAGAGCACAGTGATCTTTTTATCAAGGTACCTACGTTTTCCAATATAAGGAGACGAAACATTGCTTGTTTCTCACTTTCATCCACTGGTGACAAAATTGTTTTGGTTTATTGATTTCTTGGGCATGAATTTAATGCACTGCCTAGCTAGTGAAAGGAAAGGCATATTGCTTTGATGGGTATTTATCGTTGCTGCTGTTGTTGAGCTGTTAGTGATAGTAACAGCTTTTGCTTCAAAAAGCTGTTTTCAGGAAGAAAGTTAGACACAAATTTCAGTTCCAGAACTGTATGGTTGGAAATGCCAGCTGAGTTGCAAAAGTGCTACAATGCTGTTGAGAATAAAAATGGTTTTTTAAAAAGCAAATTAAAATCTACCAGAATATTATTTTGTTCATTTCCATTGAGATTCACAAAAAAACTGCACCCAGGGCAAAATCTTAGCTGACTCATTTCTTTCCATTTCAGAGACTATTGTCATGTTTCCCCTGCCCTGGATAACTCCTCTTACAAGGAGAGAGAAAGCTGATTAAAGAATATGGCAAGTCTGAATCAATACTGACAGAGCCTAACATAAGAATATGCGTAACCATTTCAACTCCTCCAACTCCATGAAATATTGATGCCATCACATTGAAAGCCAAAGGGCAGAGAGAGAGAGGGAGGTGCCAGATTGCTTGGAACAGGGCCTTTGGCATAATGATCTACTTGTGCGTAACAGCCTACTCAGGAGTATGGTTTACTCTCAAATAAAATATTTCTGCAAACACCTTTGATCAGCCTCAGCTAGGCTCGAATGAAGGGCAAGAGCTTCCTCAGTACAAACTCGCCAGCCAGACATTAGAATGATGTGATAGTCTGATGTTGCACTGAAGCCACATAACTTCTAATTACTGGGTGAACTCTTGGTAGTTGTTCAGTCAATAAATCACATATAGAAAATTCTGTGAAAACTACAGTTTTAGTAAAGCAACTAAGAAAATATTCTTTTAGATCAAGTGCACAGAAAAATAGAATATAGCCTCCACAGTATCCTTTTCTTTTATACAGTATAATGACTGGAATGAAGATTTCCATATGCTTGTTTTGAAGACAACAATGGGGCAATGGAGAATACCATAATATGCAGTTGAGGTGACTTGCTGTTAAGGCTTCTCTCTGCTCCTTAACTGGCTGTTGTTCTCATGACACTGCTGAGATGTTAATTTTGTGACCAGCAATTATAAGCAAATATCTTTGGAAGGCAATTAGCTTAAACTACTTCAGTGGAACAACTTCTTCCCACTTTTAGTATCAGAAGATTAGACATTCTTTCTTCTAGATAACGTTAAAAACACCATCTGTTTTTTATCCATGAATAAGGTGTAATAAAATCAGTGTAGTTAAAATAGGTGCACAGAATAAAAAAGGCTGCTTTACAGTAAAGCCAAAAAATGAAAGAGCCATTGAGAAAATACAACAATTCCAATAAGTTTAGTATAGGCTTCCCCAATCTGGGATATTTTCAGGTGTGTTGGACAAAGACCAAGCAGGCTGAGAATTATTAGATTTGAAAACTAAAATATCTGTAGGACAGTAGTAAGTGAACATATACCATTTTCTCCTCTCTCTGCCCTTCTCCAGGATTGTCCCTTTCTGCAGTATTTTCTTCCCTCCCTCCCCCTAAAAACTGGTGAAATTACTGCACCGGTTCTTCAGTAAAGCTATAGCTCACTTGCGAGTGTCCTCCGTGTCTTCTACTAGGCAACGTGAAATATTACATGATAAAAGGTAGCACATATACATATTTTAATACCAATAAATAAATGGCTAAGAACTAACCAAACCCTGAGTGTAGTATGTGAAATGGTTGCCCAAGGCTTCTTAACAGTTGGCCTGTTAAGAAAAGAGAAGATAGACAGTAAACTGGGTCATACATTCACCTGCTTAATCAAACCAGAAAACACAATTCAGGTAAGTATATAACAAGCAGGGGAAAACTGAAAAGTGATTGTGCCTGACCTATCAAGAACACTTTCTGCATAGCCAGGAGATTTTTGACAGCAGAGAGCTGTGTTAGGAAGACTGTGCTGTCTCTTTCATAAATCTATAGCTCCTCGCATAGGACTTTTGGAGGACAGGATTATATGTATAAAGGAGTCCTAAATGCTTTACAAATGGGGTCTCCCTATCCCCCAAGCTAAAACATAGAATCGCAAAGAAATGCAGGACTGGGACATTGCTTGTTATTGTTCCATTAACTCCTTGTTGGCTAAGGCTGCCTCCTCCCTTTTACTGGAAGGATTTCAGTCTTGATTTGCATGAAAATGGAGCTCAGTAAATGCAGAGCCAATTAAAACTGAGCCTCAACTTTATCAAAGGAGACTCAAACCGGTACAACTTTCCATTGTACCAGAATCATCCAGTTAATCCACTTATCTCATAGGGATGAACTTGGTGTACCTGTTGCAGCTTTCAGTTCCATTCAAATGATGGGATTTTCTCACTCAGTATGGCTAAAATGCTTGAATATGTAAATAGACAAAAATCTTCCTGACAGCTTGTATGGCTGAAGCTGCTTGTCAGGCTTTATCAAAACTAAGGTAATAAAAAGTGAAGCCGTTCTTTATTGCCCAGAATGCCATAGAAACAGAAAACGTTCATTGGCCAATCTTCTGAATGCTCACTCAGGTTGAGTGAGACTAAATTCCAGGCAAAAAGGGACTGCAAACGTTAACTTTTAATGTTGTAGCACTTCAGAATGAGGAAGAAGATGAGTTCATGAATCAGGAAATGAACCACAGATGTCATACCCTAAAGGAGAAGAGAATATATATTTCTGCCATTGTATTATTCTTATTTATGCTATGGCTGTTAAAGAAGCCATACTTTATTACAGGACATCTGTGGAGAGACTTGATCTTATAGAAAAAATGGGAAATCATTGTAAATGTATCATATCCATTTATGTATTATGACTAATATTTGGGGGAAATGATCCCAAGCTGATTCTGTTATGAGGAATTGTTTTTGATGAACTCTTTGAAGAGCCTTTTGAGTTTGTGATTATTTATATCACATACTCTCTAATAAATTGCAGTTTAACCTTAGATTCATATTCAGGATGGAGCAGATAGCTGAAATAGGAATAAGTTCCAGTTAAGCCTTCAGTGTGCATATAAAGGCATCTTCTGTGGAGAAATCAGGAGGACTTCTGTTTCTTGTGCTGGTCCATGTCCTGTTTCTCATCTATTTACCACAGAGGGAGATTTCACTCAAAGTGGGAAAAATAACTACAGGATCTCTTCTTTTGACTATTCCCTTCAGTCAGAAGGGGAGAGACAGGGAAGGAGCATGGAAGTCTGCTATTGTGTCTAACTTCTTTATTAGGGATTTATCTTTATATCTTTATATTTATCTAGGCTGCAAAAATCTGGAAACCACCTGGATGGCAGCAGAGAAAAGGGTTTCTGGATCTCTTTGTTGCCATCAAATGCTCACCTGTATTTTTGGCTCCCACTTGGGATAGCCCTATACTTCATGGGGATTGCAGTGGAAATTCTGAGACTTTTCAAAACGTAAGCATGATCCACAAATCTACTATCCCAAAAGTTAACGCTGTAACAATTTGATACTATGGCTACCATATCTGAGCTGTAAAAATCTGGATGACCATTAAATAGCGTCAAAGAGAGAACATTTTCTTATTTGGTTTGTATGACAAGGACAATCGCCTAGCAGGCAAAAGCGTGTGATAGAACAACATTCAATGCTTTTCCTGACTTTCTAAAAACATCCTCCCATTGTTCACAGTGAAAGCACCATTGCAAACTCTTTCAGCATGCAGCAGAAGACTCCAGGGAAAGATCACTCAGTTTTGTACTGAGGGCCTTCTCAGCCAAGGTCACAGCTTTTCCATCACCCTGTAACTCAGAGAAGAAACATCTAGCAGAATCTCCACCTTCTTGCAGATGTCTGAGAGCTCTTCCACATGACCTGATAAATGCAGATTGAAAATGCCTCAGCAACCATTTTTAGAGTACATAAATGGATGATGTCATGTTCAACTTACCTGATCTGCCTAGAAGGCAGCATAAACTTGTCTTCCCCTTGTTTTGGAGTGATGTTTACCATTTTCAGAAGACATTATGGCTTCAGATCTGTCCGAAATGATCATATTGGGGTAAGGTTATGGCGGGCATCCTCACTGTCCCAAGGGCCACTCAAAGCTGCTGAATGCATGTCTCTATTTCTGCTTCCTGAGCACTAATTGTCAGGGCCATTCTACTTTGGCAGCAAGACACTCAGGTTTCTCTCTTGGTGCCATCTCTCCTGCTTCTCTTGCAGGCCATGGGTGGCAGAAGAAGCAAGGAGAGCTGGTTGTGGAGATGCTTCCCTCTCAATGCACCTTCCCCCCTCCTCATGGATTTGGTGCTGCAGTGCAGTGGCAGTGGTATGTTTTACACATGTCTGAAAGCCCTCTGGACAAGGGTCTCCTGAGCACAAGTTCAGCCTCTGAAACACTGCTAGATGTGTGTTACAATCAGCTTTTGGAATTTTAGCACTGCAACAATAAAGCTATGGGGGGGGGGGACTTGGATAGCTTTATTGTGGGGATGAAGAGCCAGTTCTACCCACTTCCCTGTTGGAAGGAAGCAGGGGAGGAAATGGTTCTTCAGATGTCACTCTTATGAGGAAGCAACTCTTTTTGGTGCTGAGACAAGAGAGGCAGGAGAAGGGAGGAGAGAAATGTGTGGCTATTTTTTTGCCTGTTCCACAATCCCTGAATGGGATCAGAGGACAGGCAGCAGAAGACCCACTTCCCCTCTTCTTCCCATGCTTTGGTTGCTGTGGCTGGCTGGCATACAGGGAAAGAGAAAAAGGAGGGGAATATCTTCTTTGCTGCCAGTTCTCAATCCCACAGAGTGATCACAGTAAGTCTTCTGCTGCCAGTAACTGGCACCAAAGAGCCATTCCTCACCTCGCCCCTCTCCTCTACCTCTGCTGCAGACAGAACCCCCCTTCTGCCTCCTTGCTGAGGCAGAATAGGATTGGAAGTTCAGGCAGCATACTTAAGCCAGGGTATTTTCTGCTAGTTCCTGTAGCGGATGACAGCACTTTACTGCTATTGTGGAGAAGAACTCTGAAACTATAACATTAGTTTGGGCTCCTTGACAATCCGAGCATGTCCTCCATAGTGTGGATATCTCTATAAGGCTTTAAAATGATGTACATACAACATTCTTCTATTCTAAAAGGGAAGAGGCTGAACTACTCTGAATCATTTGAAATATGTCCTGTTTCCTATTGCTGTCTTGATCTGAGAGTGTATTCCCTGACCTTGTACTGCAAGTCTTAAGTAGCTGTAGAATGGGACAAGGAGAGGACAAATTTAGATCAACTCCAATTTTACACAAATCAGCACCATCTTTCTATCACTGCAATGTGTCTTTCTCAATAATATTTACTCACTGAAACCAGTCAGTTACGTGTGCCATGGAAATATCCAGGCCCTGGAGAATCTTCTTTCTTTCCAGCTGATTGATCTGAAGAGTTTCTGTTTGGGAAGTCTTCCTTCAAACACCTAAGAGGACCCATTAGTTTGGACTATTTTTCCATGTCAGTCTTCAATATGGGCTCTACTTATGCCCATTAGTTAAGCTAAATCAATCAAATGCTAATTTAATTAACTAGACCTAACCCAGGGATAGGTAACTTCTTCGGGCCAAATAACATTTGTGATTTTGAGAATATGTAGTAAATGTACAAGTAGTTCCCAGTTTAAGAATGAGTTCTGTTTCCAAGGTCTGTTCTTAAGTCAAATTTGTATGTAAGCTGGAACAGTATTATTGTATAATACTGTATAAGTAGTGTTTTGTAATTAACTTGAACCATTGGGTATTTAACTCATCATTGTGTATTTAACCCAAATTCTGCTACAATAGGCTCCGTTGTTAACTATGGGTTGTCCGTAAACTGGGCATTCTTAACCCAGGGACTACCTCTATTCACAAAATGGCTGCTAAGTAGACTTGCCTACTTACAGAACAGATTTCATGATGGGCATGGTAAGTCATAAAATGCTCATTTATATTAGAAAGTGAACCAAACATCCAGGATGCAATCTCCCGAAGTGGGACTTCTAGGGCCAAAGACCTTCTCATAAACATGGCGCTAGAAGCTTGTTCTTTGTTTTATAGCATGTTAACATTCTAATTCTTTAAATTATTACTATTTTTTAAGTCAAGAGGGAAAGGTGTCTGGTGAACATCAAGTAAGGTGTCTGGGAGCACATGGTATGGGGTAGCACCATGTTGCCTTCCCCCCTTCGCCTAATATTTCAAATGGTGGCTTGACTTTTAGGAGATAAATACTTTTAAAAAGTCAATATAAAAGTTCCATTATAGAAAGTAACCCCCAAACAGAATTTCAAATGGCAGCCAAAATAGCTTTAATGAAGGTGAGATGTTGTAACTGATGAATATACTGTATATACAGTATTCCTACACTTGTCATTGTAATGGTTGGAGGATTACCTTGGGCTAAGGATTCTGAACTACTCTCAGACCTATCCTTCTAGCCACACCTCCCAAATCCATCTCTTCTCTGTCTACTGTCCCTCCAGAATTTAAGCTGGAAGACATGTCCTATGTTAACATTCTTTGAGTGACAGTTCTAATGCCCAATCCTCACAAAGAGATCTTCCAACATTTCCTCAACTGCTGCCTTACACAAAGCTGCTTTCTCCTTTTGTCAGCTCATTTCATGCCCTATTTAACTACAGAAACAGGACAGGCCTGCTTCATTTCATCTTTGTAGGGATGTCATTATTTTAGGATCACCTCTGTTTTTCAATGATAGATCTTCTAACCTGGATACCTGGGTAGGATTTGCACAATCTGCTAGAATAAACTGTAATTGGCTACTTTGTGTTATGCAAACCCAATCAGTGTAGTTAGCTGATGGTGCTGTGAACCCAGTCTATTGGGTTATTCTAGTTAACCATGATTCACATTTTGTATGAACACTGTCCTAGTATTTGATTATACTGAATCCCATTAACGTTAAAAATTACATATTGGAAATATATAGTGTTTTTCCTATCTAATCATCTGGAATTGTATACAACAAAATGCTGATTATCAAGGAAATAAAACTCTTCTAAAACTGCTTGCTCTGCCCATTAAATGAAATAGCTAGGAGTATTATTTTTCTCTCAAGAGAGATATATATATAACAGATAGAAGTAATTTAACATTTGTGGTGTATGCATGCAAGATATTACAGTTGAACAGATTTTTGACAATTTGTGTCACACAAAGTTACTGGCCAGAGGTGAATGATTTTAAAGGCCTCTTAGTAGCAATGTTGTCAGTTTAATCACTTGGTGGCTCCATGCTGGTCATGAAGATGCGTCCTTGCCATTTTTCCACTTAGCAAGAATAAAGGCCAACCTGTGGCCAATTAGTCACATATAAATGTGATTCAGTGACATGTTTGCTCCTGAACTCTTAGTATAAAATGATTGTTGAGGAAATGACTAGTGATAAAGATAAGGAATGTGCCTGCACAGTTGTGAGTTTCCCTTTACACCTGATATTTTCATAAAACAGAATAAAAGACATGCTCAGGTATATATATCAGACTTCCATCTTTGGATAATTAACATTCTACATAAAGCACTCATTGCCTTCTGAAAAGTACATTAATACAATACATGTTTTCTTACAGTCTCTTCAGGCTATATGCTGTATTAATTATCAGCTTCTCGGCAATGAATATGAACGGATGTTATCCTATTGTCGCATCTATGGTAAGTGAGAAAACTTCCTTGGCTAGTGATACATTGTATTATTACTTTTAAAACCATCATGTCAAACTATTTTGAATACCAGTATTATCAAATACGTTAATCATCAATCGAACTGTCAGATGATCTTTATCTAATTTGTAATACATGTTTACATATTCCTTGCTCTATTAAGCATTTTTCTTTGCATTGCTATAAAAATTGTAACAATCTTGCACTTATTGATTGCTGTGAATTTAGACTACAGTCACTTTATCTGAAGTATGCTGCTCTAGTGACTGAAGCATGAAACTGGGAATTAAGATATTCAGTACTATAAACTTGATTTGCTACAGATTCTTCTTACTTTTTCAGTACATCTAGCTTTGCGAACCTACATAAATTTAAGTCAATTCTGTTTCAGCAAGGCTTCCTCACATATTGGTAAGTGTAAGTTTGGAGCATACATTTCATTATATGCTGAAAATCGGTACTCTGTAACTGAAACCTGCCAGCTATACTGTTGTCAATCTGAAGCAAGTAGGAAGGCTTTGATGCCAAATAAATCTATGAATTTTAAACAAGTGAAAGCAAGTGAATGTAATGTTTATATTTTCTGAAAGTCATGACTGTATATAATAGTTATTTGAATCCATCTGGGAAAGAACTAAGAATGCTATGCCAACTATTGTTGAAAGTTTAAGCCAACAGATGCAGACACATAAGATTTGCAAACAATATCCAATATTATGCTGGGTTACCAGTATCATTTTACCATTTATATTGGCACCAACTTAATTTTACATAGTACTGGTAGTCCTTGACTTACAACCATTTGTTTAGTGACCATTCGAAGTTATAATGGCACTGAAAAAAGTGACTTACAACCAGTCCTTGCACTTATGACCATTGCAGCGTCCCTGCGGTCACATGATCAAAATTTGGGTGCTTGGCAAATGTGTTTATGACAGTTGCAGCATCCCAGGGTCACGTGATCACCATTTGCAACCTTCCCAGCCGACTTTCAACAAGCAAGTCAATAGGGAACGGCATGATTCACTTAACAACCACATTGATTTGCTTAGCAACTGCCACAAAAAATGTCATAAATTGGTTGCAGTCATATGATGCCTCACTTAACGATTGCACCACTTAACAATGAATTTTCCTGTCCCTATTGCAGTTGTACGTCAAGGACTACCTGTATTTCCTTCTTGAAAACTACTCATCATACACTCAATATGTGTAGATAGCCATTCCTTTTTTGTAGTAATCTTTTCTGCAGCCCAACTAATTAGAACATTTCAACATTTCTATAGGTAATAGGAATAGAATAGAATTAGGTAATTCTACCTAATTATTTAATTTTATAGTTTAATTTTATAGTTTTAATTGCCTTTTATGTTCCAAAATAGGTTCTAACAGATTTGATGAGTTACATAACAACAACAACAACAATTATAATGTAAAGTATCCAGGAATTGACACTCAAACGGTCATGGTTATACATGGATTTGGGGAAATAGTGTATCCATACCTGTGAATCAAGTATTATTCTCAGAGTTTTGCAGTTTCTATTTTATATTTTTACATGCACAGACGCACACACACATGCATATACACAAAATCTATCAAGTGAGTAATAATGAGAAAGTTAACTCCTGAGTAAGGGTTGAAATCTAACGCTCCTAAGATCAGTAGAATGGCTAAATACAAAGGCTCACAACCAAAGATTTCCAGCTGTTTTCAGAATTTAAGGAATCCCAAAATGAGATGAGGAGGTTGGTGAAAAGTTTATTCGATAGAAAGAAGACACAATTGTTTGTTTGTTTTAATATTTTGTTCTCTATCTCTTATTTTCTATCTTTGTTCTTGTTTGTTTAGTATATTTTGTTACATTAAAAATTTCTAATAAAAAAACAGAGAATTTAAAGAATCCTCCCTGCCCAGAGTGACTCAGGTGACATATAAATTTAAACAATAACAACAATAACAACAATAATAATAATAATTTAGATATAATCCATTATGATAGTTGTACTGGTAAAAACGTTTCCTCCTTCATTCCATATCACATTTTTTATTAGTGTTCTGCCTTTGTTTCCTTCCGTTGCTAATAGTAATTCCATAGATGATTTCCTTGATGGAATAGCATGGAGGGAAAGACTATTGTGGAACCCCTACACCCTTTAAATCCGATATGGTTGTGCTGATCCAAATTATGCCATTTGTACCAGCTTTTAGAAGAAGACATGGGATGTTCCAATCACTATCTCTGCACCATATGCAGTTTTATCTCACATTTCCTGGAACTTGCTGACAAGGGAATGTGTCGATCCTTTCTTCATGATGCAGCCTTTCTTTCAGTAGGTGACCCTAATATATTCCCAGGGGCATCTGTGGGACAGTCAAAAAAGTCAAGATGGTAGCTGCAACTGTATGATCAAAACCTTGTCCCTTTTTTGCATGTGTTGCCACAAGGTATATTTAAATGTGATTTTAAAAGGAAGATTGGAGGTCATGTGCATGAATGTTTCAATATAGTTGCTATTTAGCACAACTCAAATATTATAACAGGTTTTCATGTTTAATGTAGCTGGTAAGGAACAGAGCAACAGTGAGACCGTATCTCTAGAAATTTATTTATTAGGTCTAGTCCTCATGCAGTAGAGTTTATTTGTGTTTCTTTGGATATAGAGTGAAATGAAGTAATTATCCTTGAATGAAAAGAAATCATCACCAAAAAGCAGAAATATGATCATAAATACTTTGGAACTTTCAATTAGAATATACAGTAGTTTTATGATAATTAAGTTCTGCTTGTTTCTTCATTTCCCATTACTATAAAATTTAATCTGGAGTTCTTTGCTTTCTCCCAGGCATGTATACTACTACAGCAAAATAGTTTCTTGAGGGAGGTCGATCGCTCATTTTATACAGAATCTAATTACACATGCAATGATGATAGAGTTTTGCATTGCTGCTTTCTGCTATATATTTTCATCCTTTGAGATGAGCTCACGTTTAAGACATGGCATCATGGAAAAGAAGGCTCATAACTCAAAAATTACAGAAAATGGTTTGTATGTAAAAGTTCCAGTTTCAATCCTTGACATCTCCCAGAGCAGTGTTTCTCAACCTTGGCAACTTGAAGATGTGTGGACTTCAACTCCCCCCATTCCCCCCCCGGCACCGGTGGGTTGGGGATTTTTGGTGGTTGATAACTCATC